ACCCACCATAATCCCCCCTCCACCAAACTTTACACTTGGCACAATGCAGTCAGGCAAGTACCGTTCTCCTGGCGACCACCAAACCCAGACAAGTCCATCAGATTGCCAGAGAAGCGTGATTGGTCCCTCCAGAGAACACGCCTCCTCTGCTCTAGAGTCCAGTGGCGGCGTGCTTTACACCACGGCATCCGACGCTTTGCATTGCACTTGGTGATGGAAGGCTTGGATGCAGCTGCTCGGCCATGGAAACCCATTCCATGGAGCTCTCTACGCACTGTTGTTGGGCTCATCTGAAGGCCACACCAAGTTTGGAGGTCTTTAGCTATTGACTCTGCAGACAGTTGGCGACTTCTGCGCACTGTGCGCTTCAGCATGCGCTGACCCCGCCCTGTCATGTGACGTGGCCTACCACTTGGTGGCTGATGTTCCCAGTTGCTTCCAATCCCACTAACAGTTGAGCGTGGAATATTTAGTAGCCAGGAAATGTCACGGATGGACTTATTGCCCAGGTGGCCACCTATCACGGGACCACGCTTGGAGTCACTGAGCTCCTGAGAGCGACCCATTCTTTCACCAATGTTTGTAGAAGCCGTCTGCATGCCTAGGGGCTTGATTGTATACACCTGTGTCCATGGAGGGGATTGGAACGCCTGAATCACATGATATGGAGGGGATTGGAACACCCGACTCACATGAGTGGGAGGGGATTGGAACACCCGACTCACATGAGTGGGAGGGGATTGGAACACCCGACTCACATGAGTGGGGGGGATTGGAACACCCGACTCACATGAGTGGGAGGGGATTGGAACACCCGACTCACATGAGTGGGAGGGGATTGGAACACCCGACTCACATGAGTGGGAGGGCAGGACCAGTACTTGGGGCAGTATCATGTATATAATCATGAAATAATAGAAGTGAGGGGGAAGATTCAGGTCATTGGTTGGGCTTGATGATTTAACCTTTCCCATATATGTGGCCCCCACCTTGACGCCAAGCGGGCGCACACCGGCCCTGTGTGAACTTAGCGTGCTCCCTCCACACTAAGGGGAGGGGCTCCCCAAGCTCCAAATACATACTTGCGTTCTGATCCTGGGACTGCTATGACAGCCAATCACAGCACTTACATGACTCCAATGTCCGCCTCCTGGCTTTTAGAAATCTTAAAGGGCCGAGAGATAAGAAGGGGTCAAATCATAATTTCAGCCTAAAAGAACTAGCGATAAAGATGCCACCCCCCCAACGGAAGAGAGAGAAGAGGGCGGGGGAAAAAAAAAAAAAAGAGAGAGAGAGAGGAAAAAAAAAAAAAGAGAGAGAGAAGAGGGCGGGGGAAAAAAAAAAAAAAAGAGAGAGAAGAGGGCGGGGGAAAAAAAAAAAAAAGAGAGAAGAGGGCGGGGGAAAAAAAAAAAAAAAAAGAGAGAGAGAAGAGGGCGGGGGGAAAAAAAAAAGAGAGAGAGAGAGGGCGGGGGAAAAAAAAAAAAAGAGAGAGAAGAGGGCGGGGGAAAAAAAAAAAAAAAGAGAGAGAGAGAAGAGGGCGGGGGGGAAAAAAAAAAAAGAGAAAGAGAAGAGGGCGGGGGAAAAAAAAAAAAAGAGAGAGAGAAGAGGGCGGGGGAAAAAAAAAAAAAGAGAGAGAGAAGAGGGCGGGGGAGGAAAAAAAAAAGAGAGAGAGAAGAGGGCGGGGGAAAAAAAAAAAAGAGAGAGAGAGAAGAGGGCGGGGGAAAAAAAAAAAAAGAGAGAGGGCGGGGGGGAAAAAAAAAAAAGAGAGAGAGAGAGGGGAAAAAGAGAAAAAGAGAGAGAGAAGCGGGGGGGGAAAAAAAAAAAAAAAAGAGAGAGAAGAGGGCGGGGGGGGAAAAAAAAAAAGAGAGAAGAGAGGCGGGGGGGGGGAAAAAAAAAAGAGAGAGAGAAGAGGGCGGGGGGGGAAAAAAAAAAGAGAGAGAGAGAGAGGGCGGGGGGGGAAAAAAAAAGAGAGAGAGGGCGGGGGGGGGAAAAAAAAAAAAAGAGAGAAGAGGGCGGGGGGGGGAAAAAAAAAAGAGAGAGAGGGGAGAGGGAAGGGGGGGGAAAAAAAAAAAAGAGAGAGAAGAGGGCGGGGGGGAAAGAAAAAAGAGAGAGAGAAGAGGGCGGGGAAAAAAAGAGAGAGAGAAGAGGGCGGGGGGAAAAAAAAGAGAGAGAAGAGGGAGGGGAAAAAAGGGAGAAAAAAAAAAAGAGAGAGAAGAGGGAGGGAAAAAAAAAGAGAGAGAAGAGGGAGGGGAAAAAAAGAGAGAGAAGAGGGAGGGGAAAAAAAAGAGAGAGAAGAGGGAGGGGAAAAAAAAGAGAGAGAGAGAGAGGGAGGGGAAAAAAAAGAGAGAGAGAAGAGGGAGGGAAAAAAAGAGAGAGAAGAGGGAGGGAAAAAAAAAAAAGAGAGAGAAGAGGGAGGGAAAAAAAAGAGAGAGAAGAGGGAGGGAAAAAAAGAGAGAGAAGGGGGAGGAAAAAAAGAGAGAGAAGGGGGAGGAAAAAAAAAAGAAGAGGGAAGAGGGGGAAAAAGAGAAAAGGGAGCATCACAGCTCTTGTGCAGCGCTCTCTCCTCTCCCCTGCAGCTGCCACTGACTTGACACAGATGATCACATGACCAGAGCTGGCTGAAAAGACCCCCCAGGGTCACATCAAGCCCAACTTTGAAATCGTGCAACTTACAGCAAAGTCGCACAATTTTCATAGTCAGGTGAGATTCCGATATAAGGTGCGATTTGTTAGACATCTGACACCGGCGTCTATGCAAATCGCACTAAAAGTAATGCATGTCCTACTTTACAAATCGGTGCGGCTCGAAACCGCACCGACATGACTGCTGTATTTGGGGAAAATATGGTGCGACTTGGCATAGGATTTGCAGGTCGCACTCGATGGGACCGGGCTGTTATTCTACTTTAAAGCAAGACAGACCCCGGAGATGAGCTTTAGCCTCGGCAGCCCTTCAGCACCCAACGACTGCCAAACCAGCTGCTGACCAGGTCTGTTCTTACAATCCCACTGGGGAAAAACAAAAAAGAAAAAACAAAAACACACAAAAAACCACAAGGAAACCAAAAAAAAAAAAAAAACAAAAAAAAAAAAAAAAAAAAAACACAAAAGGAAACCAAAAAAAAAAAAAACACAAAAAGGAAACAAAAAAAAAAAAAAAAACACAAGGAAACAAAAAAACACCAGAAAACAAAAAAAAAAACACCAGAACACAAAAAAACACAAGGAAACAAAACAAAAAACTAAAGAAAAAAAACAAACTAAAAACAAAAAAAAATAAAGAAAACAAAGAAAAAGAAACAAAACCAAAAGAAAATGAGAAAACAAAAACGATCAATCAAGCCCTGATGAAGGGGCCGCTCTTTACTTTTAAGTTGCACCTAGCCTCCCGCTCCTGAAGGTGGCGGCACCACACCCACCTCTGATTTAGTGAAGCTGTGTCCTTCCGTGAACAATAAAGAAAACACGTTGACAATCAAGCCCTGATGAAGGGGGGCATATTTGGACCCCCGAAACGTGATGGACGCAGATTGGATTCCCTGGCATGGACTGTCTCCCTGGCTTTAGCCTCAGCAGCCCTTTTGCACCCAAGGGGGCGATGACCTCCTCAGGCCAGATAAAAGCAATTTCAGAGGCCAACAAACCATCTTGTCTTGTATTAGCCCTGATGAAGGGGGGGGGGGGTGTGTTGGCCCCTCAAAATGCATTGGATAATTTTTTAATCGTTCCCCCAGGCTTGAACAGTCTCCCTTCGTATTTTGGCCTTACCAGCCCACCCAAGGGGCAATGACCTCCCAAACGGAGGCCACCTAGAAGGCACCCAACACGTTTCAGTGGCCAGTAAACCATCTTGTCTCGTTTAGGACCTGATGAAGGGGGGATTGTTGGCCCCCAAAATGCATTGGCTACTTTTTGAATCATCCCCCTGACTTGGGCTGCCTCCCTTCAATTTTTGTTACCATGGCAGCCCTTTAGCACCCAAAGGGGCAATGACCTCCCGAGGCCAAATAAAAGGCATCCCAACGCGTTTCGGTGACCAGGAAACCATCTCGGCCTCTCTTTGGCCCTGATAATTGGGGATCGGTGGCCCCTAAAATGCGTCGGCTTCCATTTTTACCAGCAATAAATGATTCTGGACTGTTGAGATAACCTTCAGGAGCTCATCTTGTCGACTTCAGTACAGCAGGATGACGTCGCTTCCAGCGTGGTGGACTAAAAAGGTGCCCGCGTGTCCGACGAAGAACAACTTCCCGTCCTGACAGGAAGTGAGGAGGAATTCCCCCAAAAGGGCATCAACAACCCGACAGCACCTTTCACTCTTACCGCCCAATCCTCCTGTAGATGGCGGCGTGACTCCTGCGCAGGATCAGTGAACGATGGAGTTGACCTTTAAATTTCTTTTTTTAAAATCCGGCAAATACCGTGGCGGTTGCTGTAAAAAACCCGAATGATGACAGAACATGCAGCCGTGTTTTTGTTTTATATATACAAGACACATTTATCCAATAAATTCAAAACACAGTACAAAAAAAAAAAAAAAAAAAAAAAAAAGAAAAAAAAAAAAAAAGAAAAAACCACGTCAAGTGATGATTCATACAACGCAGAAGTCATAGCCATCCTTTCCTACGGTAGACGTGGGCGGTGACACGCCTTCTCATCCCCCCGCCCCCCTCTCACCTCTACAAAAAGAGGTTAAAAAAAGGGGAAAAAAAAAAAAAAAATACCCAAAAAAAAAAAAAAAACCAGCCCTCCCCTAAAATAGCAAACATTTCATAATTGCAGAAAAGGGGAGAATACAAATTCTATATTACATACAATAAAGGGGCGGGGGAGGGGAGAGCTGGGTGGAGGAGGTCTCAGAACGGAGGGGCCGGAGGGTTCGTTTTTTTTATTTTTCTCTCGTTGACTTTTTTTTTTTTCAGCATTGGCCGGTCCTGCGATTTGCGCCGATCTTTTCGCAATGTCCTCTTGTGGGAGGCGTCTTTTTTTTTTTTTTTTTTTCAGTTGGAGCCCCAGCTGTAGCTGCTGTACGCCGACTTGGTTGCCTGAGATTTTTGCGGCATGGAGGCTCCTTGGGTGCGCTGTCCCGAGCCGGTCTGCGGAGAAAAAAAAAAAGTAAAGTCGTGTCACGGGATGAAAAGCGTTCCGACGTTGACAAGTGCAAGCAGAACCCGCTAAGAAATGAACCTGTGTAACCTTTCCCCCCCCACCAGAGATCACAGTACTCCCTCTGACGAGGCCTCCATTTTTTTTTTCCGGGCACCATCTTTATTCAGGCATGCATCCTCTGACGATGCCTCCATTTTTTTTTCCGGGCACCATCTTTATTCAGGCATGCATCCTCTGACGATGCCTCCATTTTTTTTTCCGGGCACCATCTTTATTCAGGCATCCTCTGACGATGCCTTTTTTTCCCCGTCACAATCTCTATTCAGGCATCCTCTGACGAAGCCTCCATTTTATTTTTCCTGGCACCATCTCTATTCAGGCATCCTCTGACGAAGCCTCCATTTTATTTTTCCTGGCACCATCTCTATTCAGGCATCCTCTGACAATGCCTCTTTTTTTTTTCCCCGTCACAATCTCTATTCAGGCATCCTCTGACGATGCCTTCATTTTTTTTCCTGGCACCATTCCTATTCAGGCATCCTCTGACGAAGCCTCCATTTTATTTTTCCTGGCACCATCTCTATTCAGGCATCCTCTGACGATGTCTCCTTTTTTTCCCCGTCACAATCTCTATTCAGGCATCCTCTGACGATGCCTTCATTTTTTTTCCTGGCACCATTCCTATTCAGGCATCCTCTGACGAAGCCTCCATTTTATTTTTCCTGGCACCATCTCTATTCAGGCATCCTCTGACGATGTCTCCTTTTTTTCCCCGTCACAATCTCTATTCAGGCATCCTCTGACGATGCCTTCATTTTTTTTCCTGGCACCATTCCTATTCAGGCATCCTCTAGAGATGGTGGCGGAAAAAAAAAAACAATGGAGGCATCTTCAGAAGATGCCTGAATAAAGATGATGTCGAAAAAAAAAAAAAATGGAGGCATCGTCAGAGGATGCCTGAATGAAGAAGCCGCCATTGTTTTTTTTCCCGCCACCATCTCTATTCAGGCATCCTCTGACGATGCCTTCATTTTTTTTTTCTGGCACCATCTCTATACAGGCATCCTCTGAAAATGCCTCCATTTTTTGTCCCGGCTCCATCTCTATTCAGGCATCCTCTGACAATGCCTTCAATTTTTTTTCTGGCACCATCTCTATAAAGGCATCCTCTAGAGATGGTGCCGGGAAAAAAAATGGAGGCATCTTCAGAGGATGCATGAATAGAGATGGTGCCAGAAAAAAAACATAATGGTGGCATCTTCATGCAGGCATCCTCTGAAGATGCCTCCATTTTTTCCCCTGGCACCAATCTCTATTCAGGCATCCTCTGACGATGCCTCCATTTTTATTTTACTGGCACCATCCCTATCCAGGCATCCTCTAGAGATGGTGGCGGAAAAAAAAAAAAAAATGGAGGCATCTTCAGAGGATGCCTGAATAAAGATGATGCCGAAAAAAAAAAAAAAATGGAGGCATCGTCAGAGGATGCCTGAATGAGGATGCCGCCATTGTTTTTTTCCCGCCACCATCTCTATTCAGGTATCATCATCATCCTGCAGCTTTCATAGCTTGTCCTGTATGCACTTGCCAGTGCCTCCAACCCCCGTAAATGTGCAAAACCACAACCAATGACAAACCCCCCGAATTTGTGTTTTGGTACAGCCGCAACGATCTCGTAAGAAGCCAGGCACCAACGAAACTCGGCGGCATCATGCACCAGACTCCGCCCCTTCCCCCTCCATCCGATGGCAGTGATTGTGAATGGATGACGGAGAAAGGGTGCACGGTAGGAGTGTCTGTTATGTGCACGGGAGCTCCTCACCAGCTGGGGGGAGGGGAGGTGAAGGAATGCAGAGTCCAAAGACAAATTACCTGGTCATCGCTCAGCGGCTGGCAACACAAAATCTGCAAATATGGCCGCTGGCGCAAAGGTGGGCGGATATGCAAAATAAAGGGACAGACATTTAGCATGAGAAGGTGCGGGGGAGTCGGCGCCAAATCCTCAACTGATGGGGGGGGGTGATAACGGCCTTTAACACAACAGCCTCTGTGGGCGATATCCCCGCCACGTTGCGTCTGCCTGAATGCCTTGCTTATGGGACCAATCGCTCTACTCAACGGCCGGGACGATCGATGCCCGCTGTACGGGACCGCTGTGTGAGGTTCCGATTCATGTGATCACCGATTGGGCAATCAGTGATCACATGAATAGTAAGCAAGATGTCACTCCCTGACATCATTGCTTACTACGTGTGAAATCTGTGACTGATCACAGAGATCACATGGTACAGGGCCATTGACAACAGCCTTGTACCATGTGACAAGCTGTGACCAATCACAGCTCACTCAGTATTTCTCAATGGCTGCAGAAATGCAGCCAGAGAGAAGGAGAAATGATTCCTCTTACAGCCTTTATGGGTGTAAAAGCAATCAGTGTAAAAAAAGGGGGACGGTGCTGAAGAGCGACCGAGCCTAGAACCCTGAAGTACACTTCTTATACAAGTCTGGAGGTGCAGCCAAAGTGTTCTGGAGGTGCAGCCAAGGTGCTGTGGAGCTGCAGCCAAGGTGCTGTGGAGCTGCAGCCAAGGTGCTGTGGAGCTGGCCAAGGTGCTGTGGAGCTGCAGCCAAGGTGCTGTGGAGCTGCAGCCAAGGTGCTGTGGAGCTGCAGCCAAGGTGCTGTGGAGCTGCAGCCAAGGTGCTGTGGAGCTGCAGCCAAGGTGCTGTGGAGGCTTACCTGAGCGTCTTGCTGGAGGTGATGGTGGAGGATCTGTGAGTGAGGTTGCTGATGCGGTGCCAAGATGTGCATAAATGGGGCCGGAGGGTAGGCAGCAGCTGTAGCCGGGTTGATGGGACCTCCGCTCCCCAGCGCCGAGGGCAGGTTGAAGGAAGTCGCCGGGGTGCCAGTGTGGAATCCCTGCTTCTCAAACGATTGCTGAAAAGACGAAACGGAGTCACGATCAGAACGTACAATCCACTGCAAAGGGGCGGGCTGCGGACCACAAATCTCAGGATGCCCGACTTGTAGGTCCTGGTCAAAATTTTACCCCGCCAGTGGTGAGCGCTAGCAGCATCCCATATATTTCGTATGAAGTTCACCTACCTGCGTCTTGGAATAGACCGAGCCGGATATATCGGGGACGCCGGTGTTACTGGAGGTGACAGACACGCCTGTGAAGAGACCAGAGTACATGGTTTGTAGTTTGGATGAACTTCGCATGCCGCCAGTACTACAGCATAATGAAGGCACAAGTGGGGTCCTGCGTACTCCAACCGCGCAGCGCTCCTGACTACAACGGATTTCCTCCGGTGCGTCTGAACATGGTATGTGTGCACACAAGGTGTGTAAAGACGACTTCAGCTTTTTGGAGGTCACATCGATTTCTAAACAGACCATCGTCATTCAGCCAGGCAGGACCAGCCGAGTGCAGAATGGGCCCTTCTGGGGCAACAAACACCATTTGGGATAAAGGGGGCGAGGAGAGGAGATGAAAGAGGAGGAGGACGGGCTAGGAGAGGAGATGAAAGAGGAGGACGAGGGCGACGGGCGAGGAGAGGAGGAGAGGAGAGATGAAAGAGGAGGACGATGGGCGAGGAGATGAAAGAGAGGACGATGAAAGAGGAGGACGAGGACGACGACGGGCGAGGAGATGAAAGAGGAGGACGACGACGGGCGAGGAGATGAAAGAGGAGGACGACGACGGGCGAGGAGATGAAAGGAGGACGGACGACGACGGGCGAGGAGATGAAAGAGGACGACGACGGGGGCGAGGAGATGAAAGAGGAGGACGACGGGCGAGGAGATGAAAGAGGAGGAGGACGACGACGACGGGCGAGGAGATGAAAGAGGAGGACGACGACGACGGGCGAGGAGATGAAAGAGGAGGACGACGACGGGCGAGGAGATGAAAGAGGACGACGACGACGACGAGCGAGGAGGAGATGAAAGGAGGACGACGACGACGGGCGAGGAGATGAAAGAGGACGACGACGACGACGGGCGAGAGGGATGAAAGAGGAGGACGACGACGACGGGCGAGGAGATGAAAGAGGAGGACGACGACGACGGGCGAGGAGATGAAAGAGGAGGACGACGACGAAAGAGGGCGAGGAGATGAAAGAGGACGACGACGGGGGCGAGGAGATGAAAGAGGAGGACGACGGGCGAGGAGATGAAAGAGGACGACGACGACGGGCGAGGAGATGAAAGAGGAGGACGACGACGGGCGAGGAGATGAAAGAGGAGGACGACGGGCGGGAGATGAAAGAGGAGGACGACGGGCGAGGAGAGGAGATGAAAGAGGAGGACGACGACAAGCGAGGATGATGGAGAACAGGGGTCTTCAAACTGCGGCTCGAATATGGCCCTTTGCTACCCTTTATCCAGCCCTTGGGGCACTACCCCTCACACCGAGATACACAATGGGGCAGCACTTCTTCCGAGGTACGCCCGTACTATTCTTCCCACTAATACCAATGACGGGGCACGCCTCCTCCTACTGACCACCAATGACGGGGCACGCCTCCTCCTACTGACCACCAATGACGGGGCACGCCTCCTCCTACTGACCACCAATGACGGGGCACGCCTCCTCCTACTGACCACCAATGACGGGGCACGCCTCCTCCTACTGACCACAATGACGGGGCACGCCTCCTCCTACTGACCACCAATGACGGGGCACGCCTCCTCCTACTGACCACCAATGACGGGGCACGCCTCCTCCTACTGACCACCAATGACGGGGCACGCCTCCTCCTACTGACCACCAATGACGGGGCACGCCTCCTCCTACTGACCACCAATGACGGGGCACGCCTCCTCCTACTGACCATCAACCCTGTGGCCATGTTTATTCTCACTCCTAAAGTCTGAAGGACCATATACTGACCCTTTGGTTGGTATATATTGTTCAATATTCTACAAAGCTCTGATGAACTCTGGGAGGCAGGCTCGGGGTGGGAGGGAGGGAAGGAGGGAGGCAGGAGGACGAACTCGGGGTGGGAGGGAGGGAAGGATGGGAGGCAGGCTCGGGGTGGGAGGGAGGGAAGGAGGGAGGCAGGCTCGGGGTGGGAGGGAGGGAAGGAGGGAGGCAGGCTCGGGGTGGGAGGGAGGGAAGGAGGGAGGCAGGCTCGGGGTGGGAGGGAGGGAGGCTCGGGGTGGGAGGGAGGCAGGCTCGGGGTGGGAGGGAGGGAGGGAGGCAGGCTCGGGGTGGGAGGGAGGGAGGGAGGCAGGCTCGGGGTGGGAGGGAGGGAGGGAGGCAGGCTCGGGTGGGAGGGAGGGAGGGAGGCAGGCTCGGGGTGGGAGGGAGGGAGGGAGGCAGGCTCGGGGTGGGGGAGGGAGGGAGGGAGGCAGGGCTCGGGGTGGGAGGGAGGGAGGGAGGCAGGCTCGGGGTGGGAGGGAGGGAGGGAGGCAGGCTCGGGGTGGGAGGGAGGGAGGGAGGCAGGCTCGGGGGCACGTGGGGACGTGGGAGGGAGGGAGGGAGGCAGGCTCGGGGTGGGAGGGAGGGAGGGAGGCAGGCTCGGGGGGGGAGGGGAGGGAGGCAGGCTCGGGGTGGGAGGGAGGCAGGCTCGGGGTGGGAGGGAGGCAGGCTCGGGGGTGGGAGGGAGGCAGGGCTCGGGGTGGGAGGGAGGCAGGCTCGGGGTGGGAGGGAGGCAGGCTCGGGGTGGGGGGGAGGCAGGCTCGGGGTGGGAGGGAGGCAGGCTCGGGGTGGGAGGGAGGCAGGCTCGGGGGGTGGGAGGGAGGCAGGCTCGGGGTGGGAGGGAGGCAGGCTCGGGGTGGGAGGGGAGGCAGGCTCGGGGTGGGAGGGAGGCAGGCTCGGGGTGGGAGGGAGGCAGGCTCGGGGTGGGAGGGAGGCAGGCTCGGGGTGGGAGGGAGGGAGGGAGGGCAGGCTCGGGGTGGGAGGGAGGGAGGGAGGCAGGCTCGGGGTGGGAGGGAGGGAGGGAGGCAGGCTCGGGGAGGGAGGGAGGCAGGCTCGGGGAGGGAGGGAGGCAGGCTCGGGGTGGGAGGGAGGGAGGGAGGCTCGGGGAGGGAGGGAGGCAGGCTCGGGGTGGGAGGGAGGCAGGCTCGGGGTGGGAGGGAGGGAGGGAGGCAGGCTCGGGTTGGGAGGGAGGGAGGGAGGCAGGCTCGGGTTGGGAGGGAGGGAGGGAGGCAGGCTCGGGGTGGGAGGCAGGCTCGGGGTGGGAGGCAGGCTCGGGGTGGGAGGCAGGCTCGGGGTGGGAGGCAGGCTCGGGGTGGGAGGCAGGCTCGGGGTGGGAGGCAGGCTCGGGGTGGGAGGCAGGCTCGGGGTGGGAGGCAGGCTCGGGGTGGGGGAGGGAGGGAGGCAGGCTCGGGGAGGGAGGAGTGATGAAGGCAGGTTGGGAACCAGGCAGGGACAGGAGGAGGGTCCTGGCTACAGGATAAGATGAAGCAGAGAGCACTTACCAGCGCCGGGTCCATTGGTGCAAGCAGCAGCAGGTTTGCTCTGAGCAGTAGAAGCCCCACTAAATGCACCCATACAGAAATCCCCCCACGCTGGACACCCGGCCCAAGTCCTCAAAGCCTGTGAACAGACACAGCCCTCAGCAAGGAAAGGGAGCCCCCACACATCTCTTAGACGGCCCCCGACTTAGGACCCCGCAAAGCTAGTCATCCGCTGCTGCTCGGACCCACCAGCGGGGGCAGACGCTCTGCTGCAGGGAAAAGTTAGGAGAGGCACCAAAAAATACAAAAAACAGCAAGGAGGATAGGGGTGGGGGAGGCATTCACTGCCGGGGAGAGGGGGGGGGGGGGGGGGGGGGGGGGGGGGGGATTCGGATGGGTGAAGAGGAGTCAAACAGGAACCAAAAAAGTGGTAGCGTCTTCATAATCTGCCTTACCGGTGTTGTAAGCGTGAGAGCCGTAGCTGGCCGCTTGCTGGAAGGCGCCAGCCGAAGTATTGACCCCAACATTCACCCCGTGCTGCTTCGATGTGGTAGGCGCCACCTGCAGGGGAAAAAAAAAAGGGGACAGACGACTCGTGAGGCCAGGGCTCTCTAGCTCCGCCCTAGCGGCAGGTCACAAACAAGGGCAGGCAGGTGTGACCTTGAGACTCTATCCTGCCCTAAAAACACAGCTTAAAACCACCACACAGCACTTTTACCACCCCCCACCCCCATATTCCATAGCCTGGCAAGAACGAGCCCAAAGTTTTAGTCAGCTGCCATTTAATAAACAAGAGCCGATGTGGAGTTATTCTTGGAAGCCAAAAGGAGAGCGGATGGCAATTCGGCACGCCCTGTTGGCAATCAAATTCGGGGGTTATTTTTTTTCGATAAAGCTGCAGCCATGTCGAGTCATCGGGCAAGCTTAAAAATGGCGCACTGCTGCGAGGTAGGAGGCAACGAAGCACAGGCAAGGACCCTACACCAGGACGGTAGGAGGGTGTCCAGACAAATCCCAATGAGAGCCTCACGCCCAGGAAATTGGTGCCAGACACACAGAAGGCAGGCTTAATTTTCTCACCTCGAAAAACAAAGAGGATTCTGGGACGTACCTGGGATGGATCGCCAACATACTGGAAAGTCTCAGTTGCCAGCACGCCCGCGGGGAACCTCTAGTGGCATACAGGGAGGTTAGACGCAAGTCTCAGGGCCTCACTTGCAAATTTTTTTCCCTAGCACCCCTTTTTTTTTTTCAGCGACCACGAAAAAAAAAAAAAAAAAAAAAAAAACCAAAAGAAAAAAAACTAAAGAAAAAAAAACCCCCAAAATTTCTGTCGCTCCCCAAAAAAAATACAATAATGGTATGGCCCATTCTCTAAACATGACAAAGTAACTTTCTGAAGTGTCACTTTTTTTTTTTTTTTTTTTTTTATTAAAATTCTGTTTCAAGAACAAAAACTACAGAACCAAAAACAAGACCCCCCCCCCCCCCTCCCAACAGTTTTCCATCCCCCACCCCAAAGCAATAATAAGGAGGGCGGCCAATCGGACAGTTTATTGAAAATACTTTTATTAAGTATGGAGATATTTACAATCAGGAAAAAAAAATATTTTTTTTTTCTTTTTCTTTTTTACCAAAAAAACAAAATTACAGCACAAGAGAACACAGATCAATGTCAGAATTTCAGGTGCAAAAAGCATAGCGGCAACAACGTGATTTCCAAAAACACAAGTCAGCGATGGTCGGACGCGGCCCGGGCGGAGCAAACGGTTTAGGCTTTTAAAGGGAATCTTTCAACTGCAGGCAAAAGTCAGTTCAAAGTTGGAATTTAAATTAAAAAAAAAAAAAAAAAAAAAAAAGAAGAAAAAAAAAAAAAGGAAAAAAAAAAAAAATGGTGGTTACGATGGTCTCAGAAGTGGTCGGTTAGGCGTTTCGGCTTTTTGGACATTGATAGGCTGCAGGTAACATGGGGCTGGACAAGTCGGGAGTCGGGTCGTTTTAGTGCGCCCGGAAAGGCATTTACATGGGGGTGGTACTACAGCATATGTCCGTGTGGGGGCCGCGTGTAGGTGGGAGTTCCGTGCATGGCTGTCCCATTGGCGTCAACTGGGATGCAGCAGTCGCACGGACAAAGCCGCTGATCCCAATTTGACGTCATCCGTGTGGGTGCGCGCAGAGTGAGTTCGGGTGTAAACGTGGGAGCGCCACACTCGCAACAGCCCAATCCCAAATCAGAGTGAAGACCTGGCTCTTCCCAGGCCATTCTGACATGTTTCGTCTTTTGCCTGGAGCTTAGTCATAGGTCTAAGCTCCAGGGGCGAGACGAAACGTGTCGGGGATTCATAGCCTGGGAGGAGCCAAGGTGTAAAATATGGAAAGGCCAAACTCGCAACAGCCCAATCTCAAATCAAAGTGAAGACCTGGCTCAGCTTTGGCTCTTCCCAGACGCTGACGCGCGTTTCGCCCTTTGCCTGGAGCTTAGTCATAGGTCTAAGCTCTAGGAGCGAGACGAAACGTGTCAGGATTCCATAGCCTGGGAGGAGCCAAGGTGTAAATGAGGGAACACCACACTCGTAACAGCCCAATCTTAAAGTGAAGACCTGGCTCAGCCTTGGCTCTTCCCAGGCCATGCTACTGACGCGTTTCGTCCTTTGCCTGGAGCTTAGTCATAGGTGAGGGCAATGCGAAACGTGTCGGATTCATTGCTCGGGAGGAGCCAAGGTGTAAATGTGGGAACGCCACACTCGCAACAGCCCAATCTCAAATCAAAGTGAAGACCTGGCTCAGCTTTGGCTCTTCCCAGACCACGCTACTGACGCGTTTCGCCCTTTGCCTGGAGCTTAGTCATAGGTCTAAGCTCCAGAAGCGAGGCAAAATGTGTCGGGATCTTAGCCTGGGAGGAGCCAAGGCTGAGGCCACTCTTCACTTTCTTCTAAGATCGGGCTGTTGCAAGTGCGACGCTCTACATGCGACATCTGGATGCGTACACCTGAGATGCCGCACCCAGAGCCAGGAGCACCCAGAGCCAGGAGCACCCAGAGCCAGGAGCACCCAGAGCCAGGAGCACCCAGAGCCAGGAGCACCCAGAGCCAGGAGCACCCAGAGCCAGGAGCACCCAGAGCCAGGAGCACCCAGAGCCAGGAGCACCCAGAGCCAGGAGCACCCAGAGCCAGGAGCACCCAGAGCCAGGAGCACCCAGAGCCAGGACTCCAAGATTTTCAACACGGTTTGCAGTGTGAGTTCGGGGACACGCACCAGGAGCCCACAAGATATCAAATTTGGAGCATCGACTACCAGCGTGTGGCCCCGTGTCGCAATTGACATCAATGGGACTGCCTTCATGGGGATACACAGAACACCTACGAATCCCCGTGCAGGTAAAACGCAGCCCGCGCACTGGCGTATGCTGTAGTACACCCCAAAACGTCTGAGCCTGCACATGCTCCCTGGCCCGTGGTGATTAGCTAGGCCCTCTGCCTGAATAAAAAAACAAAAAAAAAAAAAAAACTACAATAAACAAAAAAAAAACCAAAACATTGGAATATACTAAGAAGAAAAAAAAAAAAAATCCTTACCCAACACTGCAGCTTCTGGTGCGCTAGGCGTCACTGGGTCTTTCCCAGGATCCTGGAAAAAAAAAAAGTTGAGGATCCCAAATCTGGTAAAAAAAAAAAAAAAAAAAAAAAAAAATGTGCTCCTGCAAAGTACCAGGATTTGGAATCCATGGCTTTCACTCAAGATCCCATGGGAAGATCCAAGGACTCACCTAGGTGAGGGCACCAGGAGCTGCGGTGTAAGCCCAGAGGCTGCTGTTCGGGCCTACGTAGCTTCCAGCCTAGAGCTGCATCTGCAGGAATGGCGCGCGGACATCGGGAACGCTTCATATTTTCCCCCCATACGGTCTATGCTTGGCGTTTCCATGAAGGTTTCTACAGAAACCTGGACCAGGGCTTTCTCATTGCTGAGAGTCCAAAGCTCCTCCTCATCACCTTCATAACAAATGGCCCAGGCAGAAGGTTTCAAGGAGTGCTGATGTTCCAAGATGGTGCTACAGCCTTGATGGACACTAAGGAACGGCCAAACTTCTTCTGGGGGGGTAACCGGCTCTTCCATCCTCCTCGCTCTACCATAGTCTATGGGAGGAACGCTCTTTGATCTAGCAAGACCATCAAATGTCCCCTTGAGGAATCCTCATCTGGTGGCCGATTTGTTCTTCTACTCCTCCTCCACCTTCTCGGGACCTGACCAGGACGAGGGCGCGTCATCCGCAGCAGGACAATGGCAGTTACCCAGCCACTCTCCTCCCCCAGCACCTCCAACCCACGTGTCACTCCCAGGAAAAAAGTGGCAAGGAAGCCTACAGATCCTAAACGCCTAACCTCACCCATAGCACGAATACAGGGGGGCGTGGCTTCTGAAGAAGCGAGACAACTGCAAAACGCGTCGATCCACCGCACCAACTTGGAACAATATGCGCCATATTACAGTAAATACGGCATTTGTATTTTATGTATTTAATTGTACAATAAAGATGTTTTTATGGATATAAATCCTCTTTGTGGCACATTGAAAGTCCCTTAATTACCCCTTCCATCATGATTAGTGGGGGAGGGGGTCGAAGAATTTTTTTTTTTTTCATCACATGAACGTCATGCACCAACGCTGTGCGTGCCTAACCACTCTGGCAGTGGGCTCAGTGGGCTGTCATTGTGTGGGGGGGGGGGGAGTAATTGGTGTCATAATTCTTTTAACCACTTGCCCCCCCCCTCCCGCAATATAGAAGAAGTGCAGCTACAGGGTGGCGCAAAAGTCACGTGTAGATACCGGTGATTTGCATTTCCGGGTGCGCACTATTGGCGGCTACAGATGGCAATCACTGGGACGAAACCCGTTGGGGAAAGCCGACAGGGGCGAGACCTGTGCGTACACAACACAGGTCTCTCTCCTGTCGGCGTGGGACATGCTGCTGTGTATCTCTCCGCACAGCAGAGGTGGTGGTGCTGCACCGGCCTGGCTTGCTCATGCAAATCTGCACACTCGGCATCTGACATCCGGTGAAGTAGTGAACTGCATTTGGGGGGGGGGGGGGGGGGGGGGGGGGGGGGGGGGGGGGGGGGGGCTTAGAAGAGAATGAATATTGGAGAAGTCCACAAAGAGCACTAGCAGCACAAACCTTACAGTAAAAAAAAAAACAAAAAATAAAAAAAAATAAATATAAAAAAATAAAAATACAAAAACAAAAAAAAAAAAAAAAAAATATTAAAAAAAATAAAAATAAAAAAAATTACAAAAACAAAAAATTACAAAAAAATATAAAAAAAAAAAAAACACCAGGAGGCGCACACAGATTCCCTTTAAATACCTAGGCCGTCTAGGAGCCAATCCCGATCGGTTTGGGCTGCGTCATCAGTAAAACCAGCGGTGGGGGGAGACGCGCCCAGACCGCATTGCCCTGCTGGCGGGTAAACACATGCAAGATCAGAGGCTGGGAGGGTGTCAAGATTTTTTTTTTTTTTTTTTTAGATCTGTCCTTTCCGAACTCATGCCATCCTGTCGTCAAGTCACGTGACTCCCGTAAAACATGCATCCTCGAGGCTACCGTAAGGGCGTGCGCTCGTCCGACAGCGCAAGGGGGCGGGCAGAAGAAAAAGTCAAACTTACAATGTCGGCGGGGGGTCGCGGGTTTAAGGTGCTATTTTTTTTTGGTTTGTTTTTTTTTTTGTCTTGTCCAGTGCCGCCCACCTCCCCCAGAGCAAAAATTTTTTTTAGAGGTTTTTTTTTTTTTTTTTGTTTTTTAGGGTGTCAACGGAAGTGCGCACTCACTGGGAACACGGGGCCGTACTGGAAAGTGCTGGGTAGACCCGGTACCCCGGTGTAGTAGGGAAGACTGGTGTAGCTGTATCCCGGAGGCAGGGCGGGGTTAAGGAATGTTTGCTGTGTGGTGTGGTGGCCTTGAGTCTGGCTCTGCTGAGGCTGCGCCAGCGTCGTCGCCGGGGCGGGGGAAGGCGTCTGCGCGGCCGAATTTGGTGAGGTCACCTGTATGGGGGGGAAAAAAAAAACAAAAAACAAAAAGGAGGTCGTCAACACAGGGAGCTGGAAAGAAGCACAATGTGAATACTGCTGAATATTAACCACTTGCTGACCGCGCTATAGCCGAATGAAGACTACGACGCGGTTGGCCAGTTCTGGGAGGGGCGTCACATGACCTAGAACTGCGCCAGCTGCGGCGTGCATCCGGTGCTCTCTGATCGTGTTGTGCGCTAGCGGACACAGCTGATCGCGTCATGGTGAAGGGGCTGGCCAATCACAGCTGATGATCGCGTCATGGTGAAGGCCAATCACAGCTGATCGCGTCATGGTGAAGGGCCAATCACAGCTGATCGCGTCATGGTGAAGGGCCAATCACACAGCTGATCGCGTCATGGTGAAGGGCCAATCACAGCTGATCGCGTCATGGTGAAGGGCCAACAGCTGATCACAGCTGGATCACAATTGATCAAACTGTAAACACACTTGCCGGTTATCAGCAGCACTTTCCTCACGCTGTCGCAGTAAACTGCCGCCAATGTGCCATAGCCAAAAAAAGGAGACATTATCACTGAATTGCCCCAGAGCCCCCCCCCCCCAGGGCTGCCGGGCCAGAGCCCCCCCCCCACCAGGGCTGCCCTGGCCAGAGCCCCCCCCCCACACCAGGGCTGCTGGCCAGAGCCCCCCCGGCCACCAGAAGCCCCCTTCCCCACCAGGGCTGCCAGCCAGAGGCCACCAGGGCAGCCGGCTCATGCCCTGCCCCCCCCCCCCCCCACCAGGGCAGCCGGCCAGTGTCCCCCCACCTAGCGCCTAACCAGCCAGTACCACCCATCAGTGCAGCCTCAGTGCCACCTCATGGACGCACATCCGTAAAGTAAACGTTGCCCCCGTTGGCAAAACCCCCTTTATAATAGAAACCAAGAAAAAATTATTTTCAGCCATTTTTGGTCTTTTTTTTTCATTTGTTTTAGCAAAAAAAACAAAAAAACCCCAGTGGTGCTTAAAAACCAATAAGCCGTTTGGCGGCCAGGCAAAACGCTGTAGATTTCCCCCCCTTCCTCCCGTGGACCGGCCATATGGCGTCCTCCCAGGCATGCGCTGTTTTCGAGCTTGCAGAGCCAACGCAGAGGCTGCGCGATCTGTTCACAGGCCCACCGGCCGTGTACCATCGGACACGGCTGATGACCAGTCCCCGTTGCCCCCCCCACCATGTGACCTGCTGTGACCAATCACAGCAGGTCACATGACAGTTGTATACAATGGATGGGCTTCATTCATGCCGTCCATTGTTTATACTAGTGCCTAGCTGTGAATGGTACACCCCATGTGATTAGCTGGTGCCAAATCACAGCGAAGCCCAAAAAAAAAATAAAATACTGATCACTTCCCCAAAGTATACAATGTTACTATGGTTGCTACGGACGCCACCCCCCCCTTTCCGGTCGCCCGACCCTCACCCCCCCCCCCCCCCCCAGCGTCCCCCCTCCCACCCACCCCCCCCTTCCTTCCCCCACTTCCCCCCCCCCCCCTCCCCCCCCCCCCCCCCCCCCCGTCCCACACTCGCCGGCCACGGCTTCCCCCCCCCCTCCGCCCCCGACACCCCGAGTGCCCACCCGTCCTTTCTCCCGCCCATCCCCCCCCCCCCTTCGTCCCGTCGCTTCCCCCCCCCCCCCCCCCCTTTTTTGGTCTTCCGGTCCATTTATCCACGCTTTCCCCCCCCCCCCCCCCATTCCGGTCCCGTCGCTTTCCCCCCCCCCCCCCCTTCCTCCCGGTCCCGTCGGCTTTCCCCCCCCCCCCACCCTTTCCGGTCCTCCCAGTCCCTTCCCCCCCCCCCCCCCCCCCTTGCCTCTCCGTCCCGTCCTTCCTCCCCCCCGGAGCCTTCCCCGGTCCCCCCCCCCCCCCGGTCCCTTCCTTCGACCCCCCCTTACCCCCCTCGCCCCCGGGCCTTCCGGTCCCCGCTTCCCCCCCGGGGCCTTGTAACGGTCCCGACGCTTCCCCCCCCGGGCCTTCCGGTCCCGACGCTTGACACTCCTCCCTTAGCCCCCGGGCACCCCCTTCCGGTCCCGTACGCTTCCCCCCTCCCCCGGGCCTTCCGGTCCCGACGCTTCCCCCCGGGCCTTCCGGTCCCGACGCTTCCCCCCCCCCTCCCCCTTCCGGTCCCGACGCTTCCTCTTCCCCCTCCCCCCATCCCGGGCCCCGACGCCCCCCCCCCCCCCCCCCCGACGCCACTTCCCCCCCCCCTTCCGGTCCCCGGACTCCTCCTGCTTCTCCTCCCCCCGGCCTTCCGGTCCCGACGCTTTCCCCCCCCCCTTTCCGGTCCCCGACGCTATCCCCCCCCTTCCGGTCCCCCTCGTCCCCCCCCCCCTTCCGGGTCCCCGACGCTTCCCCTCCCTCCCTTCCCCCCCCCCCCCCCTTCCGGTCCGACACCTTTCCTCCCCCCCCTCCTTCCCCGGTCCGGACGTTACGCTACTTCCCCCCCTTCTCCGGTCCGGACGCTATTCCTACCCTACCCCCCTTCCCGGTCCCCTGACGCTTCTCTTCCCCCCCCTCTTCCCTCCCCCCTTTCCCCCGGACTTCCCCCCCCTCATCCCCCCCTCCGTACCTTTCCCTCCCCCCCCCCTTCCCCTTCCCCGAAGCGCCCTCCCCCCCCCCCCTTTGTTTTTTAGGTCCCTCCTTTGCTCTCCCCCCCCCCCCCCCCTTCCGGTCCGGACGCTTTCCCCCCCCCCCCTTCCGGTCCGGAACCTTTCCCCCCCCACGTCCCCCTCCCACCCCCTTCCGGTCCGTACGCTTCCTCCCCCACCCTTCCAGTCCGGACACTTTCCCCCCATTCCCTTCTCCAGTCCGGACCTTTCCCCCCCCCTTCCGTCCGGAACGCTTTTCCCCCCCCCCCCTTTCCGAGTCCGGAACACTGTTACCCCTCTTCCAGTCCGGACCTTCCTTCCCCCCCCTTCCAGTCCGGACAGCTTTCCCCCCCCGTCTTCTTCCAGTCCGGACACTTTCCCCCCCCCCTTTCCCCCCCCAGGCCAATTTTTCAGCTTTCAGCGCTATCACACTTGAATGACAATTGCGCGAAATCCGATGCAACACTGGTACCCATCATGAATTTGTTATAGCAATTTTTTTTGAGACAGATTAAAACTTTTATTTTTGGTTGCTATTTATTCCACCGGCTGAGGATTTTCTAATTTTTTTTTGCTATAATAAATGAAAAAGTCCCAGAAATATGTTGAAAAAAAGACGTTTATTTCCCTTATAATAAATTTTGCAAATAATTATTCATTCGATCCAAAAATCTTGGCCAACCCCGCTTTAAATGATTCCGATATCCTTTTTTAGTAAAAAAAAAAAAAAAAAAAAATCCAAATTAAAGTTAAAACGCAAAAATTAAAAATTTTTAAATTTTTTTACAATTTAATTTAATATATTTTTCCTTCCATACTTTATCCCCCCTCCCCCCAACTGTCACCCTAGTCCAGTCCGGACACTTCGCACCCATGGTGACGGACAATGGCTCGGGCGCGCCGTTCCCCCTACCCTTCCAGTACGGGTTGCAGGACAGGCTTTACATTTCCTTCCATAAGAGGATTGCTTTCCTTAGGGAACGGGATGTTGTTACTAATCCTTCCCATACTGACACTATCCATCAGCGACCACTGGTCGGAGATGTCCCCCTTGCCAGTGGACCGGGACGATCGAAAGGACTTCCCTCCACCTTTCCAGTCCGGACATCCTTTGTAACCTCCTCTAACAGCTATCGACGAAAACCCTATTCCCCGGAGCTCCCCACAAACGTTGCTAGAGATATCCAAGTAGGACCCGGCTGGACGAAGGAACAGTTCCATCCGCCTTCTCAGGTCAGGGACCACTTTTTTTAAAACCTAGGCTGTAAGACCCCCTTCCAGACCAGGAGCCCATGAAGAATCGGGTTTCGTGAAAGGCGTGGGCATTTCAAACCAGGACGGGGATGGCTTATGGAGGTTCTCTCTCTAATCCTGGAGCAATAAAGGCCAAAACAACGCAATAACAGAGGCCAGGTATCTCACCTTTGAATGACAATTGCCGTGGACATTCTCCATGGCCTGCACTTGTATACCACAGAACGAATTCTATCGTGAGAACTTTTCATTCTGCACCCTAAGACCCCCAAAATACATTAGAAAATTGACAGTGGTAACGCAATTCACTGCCAAAGGGGATAGTTAGGCTTTATTTGCTATATAACGCGGTGTGTCCGGGAAGCGGGCCCCGTGAAAATGTTGATCCGTGGAGAGTCGAGCCTTCCTGCCAACTCGGGGTCCAGTGGAGGAATCTCAGCGGCTGCAAATAACGCGGGGGTCCTGGTGTAGATCGCTGCGGTGAACATTTATTCCGGGGATGAGCGGCGTCTGGGGTGAAAAAAAAAAAAAAAAAAAAAGGCATAAATTAAGGATTTACTAACGGCGCTGGTCCGAGGAAGCTGAGAATTCGGTGAACCGCTGTGGTCCCCCCCAACATGTTTATTTTTATTTAATCGCGGGGTCCGGGGATCCAGCGGGCTGCGGTTAACTGTCACCACTTGCCAGGGTAGAGCGGACAGTGGTTGAACAGACCATGGAGCCGGGATGATGCGGACTTATCGGTGAACGCGGGGTCACCGGGGAGAGCGGTGCGGTGAACGCGGGGTTCCAGGGAGAGCGGCTGCTTTGAACGCTGGAAGTTCCGGGAAGAGCGGGCGTGGGGGAGGGGGGGCCGGGGGGGCGGGGGCGGGAGAACGCGGGGGGGGGCTGGGGGGAGGCGGCTCAGCGGTATCCACGGGGTCCGGGAGGAGCGGGGTGGGTGAACGCGGGGTCCCGGGGAGCGAGGGGCTGCGGTGAACGCGGGGGGGGGGGGGGAAGCGGGCTATGCGGGTGAAACGCGTCTTGGTCCGGGCTGGGGGGGATGGGTGAACCGGGGTACACCGGGGGCCGAGCGGATGCTGGGAATCGCGGGGTTTCCGGGGAGAGGGGGGGCAGAGGTGGCGGGGAGTGGGGGGGAGCGGCAAATGGTCAAACCGCGGTGGGTCCCCCTCCCCGGGAGGAGGGGGAGGTGGGGTGAATTTCCGCGTGTTCCCGGGGGGGGCGGGCTGCGGATAGGGGATTAGCGGAAGACCCGGGGAGGGGGCGGGAACGGGGGGGGGTGGGGAGCGGGGCGTGTGAACGCGGGGGCCGTGGGAGAGCGGCTGCGGGAAAGCGCGGGGCCGGGGAGAGCGGCGGGGGGGGGTGAACGGGGCGGGGGGGGGGGGAGCGGGGCGGGGGGGGGGGGGGCGGGGGGGGGGGGGGGCGGGTTGGGGGGGGTCCGGGGAGGGGGGCGGGGGGGGGGGGGGGGAGTGGGGGGGCGGCCTGGGGGGGGGGGGGGGGGGGGGGGGGGAGCGGGGGTGGGGCGGGAGGGGGGGGGTAGAGGGGGGGGGGAACTCTGGGGGCGGGGAGAGCGGGGGGGAGGGGGGGGGGATAGGGGGGCGGGGGGGGGGCCGGGGGGAGCGGGCAGCGGGGAACAGCGGGGTCCGGGGGAGAGCGGGGCGGGCGTGCGGTGAACGCGGCGGGGGGAGGGGGGTTGGCGGTGAACGCGGGGTCCGGGGAGAGCGGGGATGCGGTGAACGCGGGGTCCGGGGAGAGCGGAATGCGGTGAAAACGGGGGGGAGGGGAGGGGGGGGAAGCGGGGTCCGGGGGGATAGCGGGGGGTGGAACTCGGGGTCCGGGGAGAGCGGCTGGGGGTGAACGGGGGGAGTCCTGGGAGAGCTTGGCTGCGGTGGACGCGGGGGGGGAGAGGGGCGGTGGACGCGGGGGGTGGGGGAGCGGCTGCGGTGAACGGGGGGGGGGGGAGAGCGGGGGGTGAACGCGGGGTCCGGGGGGGGAGCGGGAGTGGCGGTGAACCGGGGGTCCGGGGAGAGCGGGGGGGTGGTGCGGGGGGGGGTGGCGCGAAGGGGGGGGGGGGGTCCGGGGGGAGAGCGCTGCGGTGAACGCGCGGGGTCCGGGGAAGGGCTGGGGGCGGTGGGGGGGGGCGGGGTGAACCTGGGGGGGCGGGGAGAGCGGGCTGCGGTGAAGCGGGGTCCGGGGAGAGCGGGGTGGGGGGAGGGGGGTCCCGGGGTGGGTGGGAGGGATATGGGTGAACAGCGGGGTCCGGGGAGAGCGGGCGGGGGAACGCGGGGTCCGGGGGAGCGGATGCGGTGAACGCGGGGGTCCGGGGGGGGGAGGGATGGGTGAATGGGGGAGGCCGGGGAGGGCCGGGGGGGGGGGGGCGGATGGCGGTGAACGCGGGTCCGGGGAGAGCGGATGCGGTGGAACGCGGGGTCCGGGGGGAGCGGATGGGGGGGGGGGGACGGTGGGGCGGGGAACGTCCGGGAGGGGGCGGGGGGGGGGGTGAACGGGGGGGGGGGGGGCGGGGGCGGGGGTGAACGGGGGGGAGGGGTGGGGGAGAGCGGATGGGGGGGGGAGGGGGGCGGTGGGGTCCGGGGAGGGGGGGGGAGCGAGGGGGGGAAACGGGGGTCCGGGGGGGAGCGGGGGTAGTGAACGCGGGGGGGGGCCATCTTTTTCTTACAGTTCAGGGGTGGGGGGGGAAGGGGGGGGGAATAGATTTTACCCCGTAGGATGGGGGCGTTGGGGGATCTAGGGGTAAGCCTATATTTTACCTCCCTCCAGGGGGATATATCTTCTGTCACATATTCGGGGGGGTTCAGACGGATGGAAAATACATGGTGGGGGAGACATCCAGCAAAGGGCGGGTCGGGAAGAAAGGATTACAAGCTGCACTCTCCTGGGCGAAAGGCTGGGGGGAATGAACACACCGGGTATTCGGCACGGAACCTTTTGGACTCCCCTACCTGATGGGAAGCGATGGAAGGTCAAAATCAACCTGTCAGGGAGCAGCAACACAGGAGTGGGGGGAAAAGAGGACAGGGAGAGAGGGCGGGGGGAGGCGGGAGGGGGGGGAGAGGGGAGGGCGGGAGGCGAGGGGGAGGGAGGGGGGAGGGGGGGGGGGCGGGGGGGGGGGAGGGGGGGGGGGGGGGGGGGGGGGGGGGGGGAGGGGGG